ATATACTTACTATATGTACTTATACATTTATACAAAATATAATAATATCTATCCTAGGGTTGAGTACTTACTTAACTTATTTATACAATATGAGTAAATTACAAATATACATGAGTAAATGTTATACATTACTCTCAATCACTTGACTCCCCATGACATGAGTGGAAAGAATGAACATGAACTAAAGGAGAGGGAGAAGACGGAGATGGGAGAAAAGGGGAGAAGAAAGAGGTTGATGCAAAAATCTGACGGTGATTGGAGACGGTAAAATGGGGAAAGAAACAACTTTTTTTTTGAAAGAGAGAGAGAGAATGTGGAGCGCGTGAGTGTTTTATGAGCGAGTCGACGTGTTTGTGTGTGAGTGTTTATGTGAGGGGAATGTAATTGGTAAGGGATTGCTGATGATTAATTAGTACAGTAACAATAGTTTTATCTGTTGGAATTGACTGATGAAAGGTCTTGCTGTCTCCCTTCTGAGTATGTCTGTCTGTGTCTTTTTTATCTATCTCTGTGTTTATTTATCGACATGTTTGTCGGTCTGTCCTGTCGGGCTGTCTGCCTCCGTCTCTATCTCCGTCTCTCTGCCTCTTTCCCTGTCTGTCTGTCTGTCTGTCTGTCTCTCTCTCTCTCTCTCTCTCTCTCTCTCTCTCTCTCTCTCTCTCTCTCTCTCTCTCTCTCTCTCTCTCTCTCTCTCCATCTATCTATCAATCTATCCGTCTGTCGGCCTTTTGTTGCATCATTAGCATTACGTGATTTCCCGGTTTCTTGCTGCCTTCCTTAGGGTATTGCTTCTTACTTCCTCCTATCCTTGTGTGTAAGCTTTCTTCCTTTCAACTCTTTCCCTCCCCTTCCTTTGTTCATTATTTTATTACTTTTCTCCCTGTTTTCTCCCTTAGTCTCCTTACCTTCCTTCAGTTCCTGCCTTCCCTCAATTCGCCTTCTCTTCCCCTTTTATTTTCCATTCATTTCGTCTTTCCCATTTTTATTTTCCTTCCTTTTCTCAATATTCTTTCTATCTTTCCGTTCCCTGTCCCTTTTTCATCCCTTCCTTCACTCTTACTAACTGTCCCATTAACCTTTCGCTCTCCCTTCATTCTCCCTTCCTTCATCATATCTCTCTATTTCTCCCTTCTTTCATTTATCTCTCTATGTCTCCCTTCTTTTATTTTGCCTCTCTATTTCTCCCTTCTTTCATTTATCTCTCTATTTCTCCCTTCTTTCATTTGGTCTCTCTATTCCTCCCTTCTCCCTTCTCTCTATTTCTCCTTTCCTTTCTTCTCTTCCCCTTTCTCGCCCTTCTTTCACTCTACCTCTACAAATCACCCAGTTCTCTCTCCCTCTATCTCTCCCTTCCACTTTTCTCTCCCTTTTTTATTCTTTTATTTATTCTGACTACCATTAATCCTTTTCACCCATTCTTCTACCCTTATGTCTCCCTTCCATCCTTCCTCATTCACTATCCTTCCTTCGTTCCTCCTCCCATTCTTCTCTCCCTATTTTATCACCCTTCCCTCATTCCTCCTTCCATTCTTCTCTTCCTCTTTTGGCACATTTCCTTCATTCCTTGTCTTCTTTTCACCCTTTACCCACCTTCCTTCACTCCTCCTCCCATCCTTCCCTCCCACATCTATCACCCTTCCTTCATTTCTTCTCCCGTTTATTTCTCTTTCTCTCCTTTGTCATCTTTACTTCACTGTTTTTCTTTTAACACCCTTCCTTCACTGTTCCTCCTCTATTACCCTATATTCATACCTCCTCCCATTCTTCTCACCCTCCCTTTTATCACGCTTCCTTCATAATTCCATCTTTATCACCCTTCTTTTATTCCTCTTCCCACGCTCCTCCCCCTACGCCGCTCTGGTCCACCTGACACTCAATGACTCGTGCGTGTTTGCTCGCTCATTCATCCTCTTGTAGCTCGTACAAAATACTCGACGTGCCAAGTGGTCCTCTGATCTCTTTGTTTACATGTCGTTAGCCCGTTTTCCCTTAATTGTTTGTGTGATCGTTTACTTTGATTAAGTGGGTTTGGGGATGGAATGGGATTTGAGTTTAGTTCCCCGAATGTTTTTTTTTTTTTCTTTTCCCGAGATGAAAAATATCGCGGGTTTGAATTGTGAAATCTTTGTGATGCAATGAAGGGGTTTTCTCGTCACTGTGAGCGTGGGAAAACATAAAACGGACTTTATATTGTGCAGGAAAAAATATATATAGCCATGTTCAGCTATATGACACAGCATTTCAAGTCTAGTCGAGAGTTAAATGACAGACATCCATGCAAAGGCAAGGCGTAGTGGCACCTCACCCCCACCCCCGCAGGCCCGAGACGCTGCTGCTTATAAATACGGGTTACGAAGGGTCGCGCGTGCAGTTGTTACGGAGACTGGTTGTGGTGAGGATGAGAGAGACTATGGGTGCCAGGATGCTCGTGACGCTTGTGTTAGTGTCTGGTGTTATTTGTGGGACACGCGGGGATAGCTTCTCTGAAAAGGGTGTTGAG